GCCCCGGCTGGCGCGCCTGCGGTTCCGTTTGCGGGTTCGTTCGAGGGTTCGTTCGCGGGTTCGTTCGCGGGTTCGTTCGCGGGTCCGTTCGCGGGTCCGTTCGCGGGTCCGTTCGCGGGTCGGCTCGCAGCTCAGTCTGCGGGTTCGTTTGCGAGTCCGTTTGCGAGTCCGTTCGCGCGTCCGCCTTCGGCAGCACTTTTTGCGCGGCCGACGGCGCCTCAGGCAGCTCTGCTCCGCGCTCGGCGCGCGGCTCAGCCGCGCGCCACTCCGCCTTCGGCTTCTGCTCCGCGCTCTGCACGGCTTGCGCGCCGCCGGTCGCGTAGTTTTTCGCGCCGGCAACCAAGTCTGCGCGTAGCGCGGGGCCCTGCGCCGCGACGGCGTGCTGCAGCCGCTTCAACAGCGCGCGCAGCAGCGCGGGCGTCGTCAGGTACGTCGCGTACCAAAAGCATGGCAGCGTCCAGTAACGCAGCTTCATGAGCGCCGCGCCGCTCTCGCGCGTGAAGTCGTACGCGCCCAGCGCACTCGCGCTCGGGTGCACGAGCTCCAGCGGCGCAAAAAACGCGTTCTGCTCGCTGCGCACAAACAGGTTGCACGCGAGCAAGTCTTGCCGCGCCCAGCGCTGCATCTGCGCCGCCAAAAACGGACCGCGCACCTTGTCGAATAAGTCGATGTAATACCACTGCGTTGCGCGCGCGCCCGAGTGCGGTTCGCGCTCTGGCGGCGCGCCCGCGAGCGCGACCAGCGGATCGCGCGGGTTGAACGCGCCAAACAGCCGCAGCGCGTCGCTCGGCAGCGACGGGTGCAGCCGGTACAGGTAGCAGTGCGCCAGCGCGAGGTCCCACTCGCACAGCTCGTTCACCTTCAAAAACGAGCCGAACAGCAAGTGGTTCAGCGAACAGTGCGCCGCCGCGGGGTTCGGCGCGCAGTCGAAGCCCGAGATCCACAACACCGCCTCCTCATGCCGCGCCGCAATGTACAGCTTCTCTAGCCGCCGGAAAAAGTGCACGAAGGCGAACGCGTCGTTCTGCTGCTTCGACGCCTCGAACGCGCCGCGCAGCGCGGCGAGCTCGGGCACCAGCGCCAAGTCCTTCAAAATGAACAGCGGCCGTCCGTCGAAGCCGCGCGCGACGCAGTGCAGCAGCAGCAGCATCGCGTCCGCCGACAGCGCCGCAAACTCGTCCACGAATCGGCGGCCCGTGAAGCGGCGGCCGAACAGCGCGTGCAGCGCGCCAACGTCGGCGTCCGTCAGCTCCAGCTCCAACCCGCGCTCGTCCTTGCGCTCCGCGCCGCACAGCTCCGTGAAAAACGCGTCCGCGAAAAACGCGTCCTCGAAAAACGCGTCCGCGGAAAACGCGTCCGCGGATAACGCGTCCGCAGTCGCGCTCGCAGTCGCGCTCGCAGTCGCGCTCGCAGTCGCGCTCGCAGTCGCGCTCGCAGCCGCGCTCGCCGCCGCGCTCGCCGCTGCGCCGGCAGCCGTGCCGGCAGCCGTGTCGCCCTGTGCTGCGCGTGCTCGCAGCCGCGCCGCTACGCTCTTCAGCGTGCTCTGCGAGACTTGCGTTTCGGTGCAAAACATCGCCAGTTCTCTGCGCAGATTGCCGACAAACTGCTTTTGTCTAAAACCGAGAATATTATAGAATGGTAAAAAGCCTAAATCGGCCGAACTAAAAAGGCGCCGCGAAACGCCTAATTTTTTTCGCAGTTCGCCGCGCCGCCCCGCCCGCCGCGCCGCGCGCATGCTCTCGCGAAGCGTGCTCGAGACGCACTTGCGTTTTGTCTTCTCTGCGCTGCCGCGTGAGCTCGTCGAGGAGCTCGCGCAGGTGACCTTCGCTCACCTCGCGCGCCGCTACGCGCGCTGCGCGGAATGCGCCGCTTTCGCGCGCGCCTTTCTTAACCTGCGCGTGCTGCAGCTGCTGCACGGCCGCCGCGCACTCGCGCAGCGCTTGCGCCCACGCAGCAAAACGGCGCTGCAGCTGCTCGACTTCGCTCTGCTCGTCGGCGAACCCGATGCGCTCTTTGTCGCGCCGCGCGTCATCTTCGAGACCGAGCACTTTGTGGGCTTCGCAAAGCCGCACGACTTTCGCATCGACTCCAGCGGCACGCGCTGCTCCACCTACGCAGAGCCCACGCTCGCGCAGTTCTTCCGCGCGCAACGGAACGCCCCGCGCGACTCGCCGGTGCACTTCTGCAACCAACTCGACTTCGCGACCAGCGGCGCCATCTTGCTGGCCAAAGACGCGCGCGCGAAGGCGCGCTGCACTGCCGCGTTCCAGCGACGCGCGGTCGAGAAAGAGTACGTCGCGCTGCTCCTGGGGCACGTGAACGTCGCCGCGCTCGCCAACCGCGCGGGCATCGAAGCACTGCGGCCCGAAGCCTTCTGCGTCAGCGTCCGCGTCGCGCCCAC